CTTTCAGCCATTTCAGATTCCTCTGTTGAGAATTCTCCATTTAGTTCTGCACACCACTTTTTAATTTCATTGTTTGGTGTTTTGGTGGCTAGCTTCTTGAGTTCATTTTATATTTTGGAAACCAGGCCTATGTCTGATGTGGGGTTGGTGAAAATCTTTTCCTATTCAGTGGGCTGTCGTTTTGTCTTAATGATGTTGTTTTTTTCCGTACAGAAGCTTCTCAGTTTCAGGATATCCCATTTATTAATTGTTGAACTCAGTGTCTGTATTGCTGGTGTAGTGTTCAGGAACATACTCAGACTGAATACATGGGAGAGGCACCAGGCTCTGCCCCAACCTATTGTACCAGACTATGTGGACACCTCATGGGAGCCCTTACCTCTGAGGCCCAGTGGGAGGTAGGTGGGGGTGGGGGGGGAGGGATAGGGGTGAGGGGAGGGAGAGGGAGAAGGGACTTACATGTGAAACAAGCTTGTTCCTTAACTTGAAGTAATAAAAAAACTTAAAAATATATTGGCAAATGGAATCCAAGAACACATCAGAGAAATAATCCATCCCGATCAAATAGGCTTCATCACAGGGATGCAAGGATGGTTCAACATACGGAAATCCATCAATGTATTCTACCATATAAACAGACTGAGGAAAAAAATCACATGATCATCTCACAAGATGCTGAAAAATCCTTTGACAAAATCCAACACCCCTTCATGATAAAGTTCCTGGAGAAATCAGGGATAACAGGAACATACCTAAACATAATAAAAGCAGTTTACAGCAAGCCAACAGCCAACAACAAATTAAACAGAGAGAAACTCGATGTAATTCCTCTAAAATCAGGTACATGACAAGGCTGTCCACTCCTTTCATACCTCTTCAATATTGTCTTTGAATTTCTAGCTAGAGCAATAAGACAACAAAAGAAGATAAAGGGAATACCAATCAGAAAGGAAGAAGTCAAAATCTCACTATTTGCAGATGATATTATAGTCTACATAAGTGACCCAAAAAACTCTACCAGGGAACTCCTACATCTGATAAACACCTTCAGCAAAGTGGCAGGATACAAGATTAACTCAAAAAAATCTGTACCCCTTCTATATACAGATGACACATTGGTGGAGAAAGAAATCAGAGAAGCATCACCCTTTACAATTGCCACAAACAACATAAAATAACTTGGAGTAACACTAACCAAAACTGTGAACTATGCTCATCATGGCTGGTTTTCCAGTTTGCGACCAAGCTTACCCCAGATAGCCACCAGCATAATGGGCTCTTCAAAACAGAGAGACCTAATTAAAAATAAAAATGGCAATCATGCCAAAAGCAATCTACAGATTCAATGCAATCTCCATCAAAATCGCAACACAATTCTCACTGATATTGAAAGAACAATTCTCAACTTTATATGGAGAAACAATATACCCAGGGTAGCCAAAACAAAGCTGTACAATAGAGGAACTTCTGGAGGCATCACCATCCCTAACTTTAAGCTCTATTACAGAGCTATAGTCCTGAAAACAGCTTGGTATAGGCCTTGGAGCTGAGCAACTAAGACTCTGAGATTTTAGACTCTAACGAGGAAACAGAGCTAGAGGAAGACAGATACCACCCCGATAGATATCGGCTACCCTGAAAAAAGAGAACATCTTCTACAAATGGTGCTCACATAACTGGATGCAAACATGTAGAAGACTACAGATAGACCAACGCCTTTCACCCTGCACAAATCTTAAGTCAAAATGGATAAAAGACCTCAACACAAACACAGCCACACTGAACCTACTAGAAGATAAAGTGGGAAATACCCTTGAATTAATTGGTACAGGAGACTGCTTCCTGAACATAACACCAGTAGCACAGACACTGAGATCAACAATTAATCTAGCCAACTATGCTATGACACCCACTGATTGGGAGACAACAGTAAAGGCAGTGCTCCCCAATATGGGACAATATATGGAGTGGAAGGCTCTTTGGTATGACGCAGCCCAGGCTCAGGCAAAGGCCAATGTCACAGCAGAAAATGAATATCAGAGACAATGGACCTTTGAAATGCTGACAGGACAGGGGCCACATGCACAGAACTAAATAGACAATTCTCATAGAGGAATCTAAAATGGCTGAAAACCACATGAGAAAGTGTTCAACATCCTTAGTCATCAGGGAAATGCAAATC